CAAATAACAAAACTAAGTGACTATAAAACTTAAACACAATTTTACATCTATATGTTGACATAATACCTAGTACAGTTCCACTTACAATAGCTGTAGGGTGACTTGGTTAGACTAACATGCCCATACATAAAATGATAAACTCTGTACAAAATATAAAAAACAACTATATATTCGAAGGTAATGGAAAGCATCAAAAGCAAGCAGAAACTGGAAGAGAAGTTGAAAGAACTGAAGTGCACAGGGTGAGATTTGCATTTACATGGTTTTTTGCTTGAGGGGCGCCCCCATTCCTTGAGATTAGGATAGGTAAAACTCAAATTGAAAACCATAGTCTTGCTGGTTTAAGGAGTCAGATGATGGAGTTTGGAGCTGTCAAAATGGCTGAAAAGTGAAAGGGATATCATACAAAACAGGGAGACAGAGAGGGCAGCCCAAAACCTACAAATAAACTCTGCCCAAATTCTGGCTAACCCCTGAATTATGCATGAATAGGAAAGGCTCCAAAAACCATGAAAGCAGGAAGCAAAAAGTAGCAGGAAAAAAGCAGAAATGCAGAGATTTCAGCTGTTTTTCACAAGAAGGGACATAAAGTGTAGAGATGAAGTAGACTGAAAGTAAGTAGCAGTTAGAACAAAAGCCAACAACAGTCTTTGTAAGGAAATAACAGATCAAGAGTTGGTATGATATATCACCACAATGAACTGTATACAGCTGAAAATTACCAGACATGAAGAAAAAAAATGTAATCATAGGCAAAAGAAAAAGTAAACAGAAACCAACTCCACAAAAATACTAATGTTGAAATTAACAGACAAGTACTTTAATGCAGCTATGATAAAAATATCCACGGAATTAAAAAAACATGGGCATAATAAATGAAGAGATGAAGAATTTCAACAAAAAAACAGGACCTTTTAAAGAAGAACCAAGTGGAAAAATTTACTGTATGGATTAACGGTCTAGAGATGGCTGAAGAATCAGTGAACTTAGTAGCTTAATAAAAATTATCCAGTCTGAAGAACTGAAATAAAAAAGATTGGAAAAAAAAACCAAAACACAGAGCCTAATTGACCTGTGTTTGAAACGTTATCAAGTGATCTTCATAGATGTAACCAGAGTCCCGGAAAGAATAGAATAGAAAATGTCTTTAGAAATAATGGCCAACAACTTCCCAAGTTTAGTGAAAAACATATTTGTAGATCAAAAAAAGTTCAGTAAATCCAAGAAAAATATACAATTTTAGATGAAAAAATAAAAAGTTCAGTAAACCCAAAAGAGGATAAATACAAAGAAAACAACACTTAGGCACATCATATTCAAACAGCTGCAAATCAACCATAGAAAAATCTTGAAAGCAGCCAGGAAAAAAATGACATGTTATATATAGGGAACAACACAAAGTAACACCTGACTCTCATCAAAAACAGTGGAGACGAAAAGAAAATGAAATAACATCTTTAAGTAATGCAAGAAACAAATCTATCAAATCAGAATTCTATATACAATGAAAAAAATCCTTCCAAAATGAAGATGACATGAAAACGTTTTAAGATATACAAAAAATGAGTGTACTGGTAGCCAACAGATCTGCCCTGAAAGAAATGCTAAAGAAAGCGCTTCAGGCTGAAGGGAAATACTAATCAGACAGAAACTCAAATCCATAGGAAGAAATGAAGAAATCAAAAAATTGAATTTAATATGTAATATATATTAAAGCTATTTTTCCTGCTTTTCTTTAAGACATAAGACAAAGCAAAAATTAAAACATTGTATCGTTTTTATTACATATTTATATCTAAATATATATGAGAACAGTAGCACAAGGCACTCAAGGGACGTAACACTATAGAATTACAAGGGCCTTATATTTTACATGAAGTGGTAAAATATTAACCCAGTAGAGAATGTGATAAATTAGGGACACATACTGTAATCCCAAGAGCATGGTTTCTCAGCCTCAGCACTACTAACATTTTGGAGTGGAAAATGTTTTGTTTTGGAAAGACTGTCCCGTGCATTGTCCTGTGCAGAATATTTAGCAGCATACCTGGCCTCTACCCCACTAGTGCCAGTAGCACCATCACCCCAGTCATGACAATCAAAAATGTCTCCAGACATTGTCAAATGTCCTCTAGGGAGTAAAATAACCTTGGTTGAAAACCACTGCCCTACGACAACCATTAAATAAGAAATGCAAGCTAAAATAATGACATCACAGTGTTTCTCAAAGTTTTTTCCATCATGGCCCCCTAATAAGCCCTTTTTACTTTTTTTCTAATAACTCTAGCCTCTCACATGAACTCTGAATACTACGAATATACTGTACATTTGTTTACATAATGCACCCCACTGGAGATGCACAAACATTGTAATATCTAAGTTTTTCATAACCTCCACCAAGAACCAATTTTTGCTCCTTGGGAGAGATGTCCCCCACTGAGAATGCATACCAATAGGGGAACTTAAATATTAAAAAGAAATTTTTTTGGCAAAAAATTATGAACAGAGGAATTTTTTAATGAAACAAACAGAAAATAAGTAAACAGGAGACCTAAATTCAACCATATCAACAACACTAACCATAAATTTTTTTAATGTTTAAATAAGAGACATAACTAACAAGCTAATAGAAATAAAATGGAATAGTAAAAAAATACTAAATCAAAAAAATGCAAGAATATCAAAAGGAACAAAAAACACATGGTACAAATAGGAAACCCAACCATGTCAATAATTCCATTAATAAATATGAATGGCCTAAACATATCCAATTAAAAAGTAAAAACTGTCAAAATGAATTTTTTAAAAAAATCAGATGCAAACATATGCTGTCTACAAAAGTGGCAGCTTAAATATAAAACGCAGAGATGCTAAATGTAAAAGGATATTCTAAAAAGATCTAAGATGCAAACATTAATCTAAAAGATCTGGAGTAGTTATATTAATATGAGACACACTGAATTTCAAAACAAAAGTATTACCAAAGATAAAGACGGACATTTCATAAAGACATAATACATCAATAAAATGAATCTAATAACAGAGCTTCAAAATATATAAAGCAAAACAGGCAGAATAAAGGAACAAATTCACAGTCATAGCTGGAGATTTTGTCAGAACTGATAAAACTAAAGAAAAAAAAATCAGTAAATATACAGACAATATGACTTACTATCAACCATCTTAACCAGACGTATAAAACACTACACACAACAACAACAAAAATCAAGATGGAACATATGGTGGACCATTAAAAAAAAAAAAATTTCAGATGACTGAAATTTTAGAGTACACCTTCTGTAATTATAATCAAATATAAAATAGAAATCATACCACTAAGATATCTAAAAACCCCTATATATTTTGAAATTAAACAACACTCTTCTAAGTATCCCACAGTTCAAAGAAATCACAATGGAAGTTAGAAAACATTTACCTAAATAATAAGGGGGGAGGGAGAAAGGGGTTATCACTTTGTGAGGGGTGTAAATGTCTAACTATTACATTGCTTTGTACACCTGAAACTAATAAAAAATTAAAATAAAAAAATAAATGAAAATACAATATTATCAAACTTGTGTTATATAGTTAAGCAGAAGATAAATCCATATCTTTAAATGCTATATTTAAAAAAACAAATGTTTAAAATCAACGATGCAATATTTTATCTTAAGAAGCCAGGAAAAGTCAAGCAAATTAAAATAATAGTGAGCAAAGGCAATAAAATAGAAAGCAAAGAAAAAAAAATTACCAAAGCCAAAAGTTGGCTCTTTGAAAAGATTAATAAAATGTATAAACCCCTAGTAAGGCTGATCAAAGAAAAAAGAGAACACAATTTACCAAAATCAGAATTTAATAAAGGGAATATCATTACAGATTCTGCAGACACTTATAGGATAAGGGAATATTAAGAACAACTTCATGGCTAATAAGTCAACAACTGATGAAATAGACAAATTCATTAAAAAACACAATTTACCCAAACCAGCACAAGATGAAACAGAAAATCTGAAAAGCCCTATATCTATTAAAGAAATTGAATTTATTATAAAAAAATCTCCAACCTAGATGGCTTCACTGATGCATTTTATCAAACATTTACAGAAGAAACAAAACACATCTTATGCAAATTCCTTCAAAAATTGAGGAGGGACTACTTCCCAACACATTTTGTGAGTCCAGCATAACCATTATATCAAAACCTACAATGAAAATTACAGATTAATATTCTGGTAAGTGCAAAAAATCCTTAACAAAATTAGTAAATCAAAACTGATAATATATTAAAGCTACATCATGATCAAATGGGATTTATTCCAGCAATGAAAGTTATACACCATTTTATACACCATATTAACATATTAACAGAATGGGGGGAAAATCAAATGGTCATTTCAATAGGTGAGGGAAAATCTTTTGAAAATATTGAACACTCACTCATGATTAAAAAAAATTTGCAGCAAACTAGGAATAGAAGGAACTTTCTCAACCCAATAAAGGGCAGCGATGGAAAACCTACAGCTAACATGATATACCTTAGTGGTAAAATAAATGCTTTCCCAATAAGATGAGAAATTAGTGTCCACTCTCACAATTTTACTCAACGTTCGTACTAGAGGTCCTAACCAGTGAAATAAAAGCGAAAAAATTAATTAAAGACATAAAGATTGGAAAGAAGCAGAACTGAGGCTCTTTGCAGATGACTTGATCATTTACAGAAAATCTTAAAAGTAACATTAATAAGAATTTAACCAGACTACAGGATACACAGTGGATACACAAAACTCAGTTGCTGATTGGGAAGGGGGATGTGTCCGCGTGTTAACAGCAACTTGAATCTGTCACTCTACAATGCATATAGAAGCCCATCATTTGATGGTTCTCTGCATTTGGTTTACTTGGTTAATATTTTCAAAACAATTATGTTAAAACTATAAGAAAAACAAATTTCACTTTATTGTAAATACATTAAATCTCAGAGTTTTAATGCCATTACTAACCAACTTAATCTTTCCACGTTTCTTCTCCCTTTATAAAAGGTCAATAGTCAAAGTGAGCTTCTCTAGTCTATCATGTGGTTTATACAGTCACTGCCACAGCTCTTTACTCTCTATGGAAAATGCTTGCTGCTGAGTAGTAAACAGGAAATCATATGGTCATTTTCTTTTTCCTTAATCACTGTATAATTTGTCTCAAAAGTCACTTCGTGAATAAAACATGAACAAAAGGTACACAAGTGCATACAAAGTAAAGGAGAAGGAAAGGCCCTTGGACTTAGATGAACACCCTCAAAATAGTGCATTTTGTTTTCTATAACAACTTATAACTGACTACATCACAATAATCACACATTAAAACATAGCCCAGTTTACCATCTTTAAGGTTCCTAAAGTATATTTTGTATAGTGGGATTAAGCTATTTTGTGAAACAACTCATAGATTCATAATGTTTTAGCTTGAATTGCCAAATACTAACATTCTAGTTCATCTAAACAAACTATTACATAGAATATAAGACAAATCTAATTCACAGGACACATTTACGATATCCCTGAAATGGAACCTATAAGACAAGGCAAACTAAGGAGAAAAGTTCTTTGAAAGCACAAACTGGTTACATACACAAAACGCACATCAAAGTTCAATTTGTTAGATAACCATACGAGAAAGAGTATAAGGAATTAACACATACACACAGCAGTTTCATCAATCAAAATGTTTTTAATGATAAAAAAACCGCCATTCAATCTGTACCAATTTCAAAACAGTAAGATTATGAGCTGACTAGAAATACGTTACAGATTTTAACTCATCAAGGAACCAGCTCTCCATATTTGATAAGACCGCATACATAGGTTTTTAAGAAACGGTACTATTAAGCAAACAAAATTTTATAAATTACAATAAGCCCTGGATTAATACTACTGCAATCTACTTAATTCTGTAACTTAGACCTTTTAAGCTGGTTAAATTTCCCCTTTATTAACACAGTGAGTTTCTTCAGAGCAAATACTACTACTAGCTATAATGGAACAGACTAAGAAAGCAGAACTTCTGACATCTATTGGGTTGTCGGAAAAGTCATGACGCATTTTTGCAATGAAAAACACAGAAAAAATACATCATGACTTTTCCGACAACCCAACAGCTTAGAGGTTTCTAGTCACCTGGAGTACACCTTACAGGCTGCTCTTTGAAGGAGATAATTTGACAAGTGTTCACTATATACACAGGTGTCTCTGAGTATGCTAAAGTGCAGCCAAATTGTGAGGTGCTCCGCCAGGACTATCGAGGAGGAAAATGTAGACAATACTTTACTCTGTGTTTCTTTCATTGTCATTTCTAACACCAACAACACTATGTGAATGTTATCTCAATTAATACTCACCATTTTGCAACTGCTCCAAAAAAGTACAGAAAAAAGGCTTCACTACTAATATGCCACTAATAACAAAGTTAAGAAAGCATTTTATGCTACACATTATCAATAATTATCTTTAAGTCTTTTTTTTTTCCTTGTCCTGGAAGATATTTACTGAATAACAACTTATTCACATTAAAAGTACAAATACAGTGAGATTATATCTGAGTAGGAACTAACAAGCAGATTCATTAATACAGAGTTCAGAAACAAAACTGATATTCAAAGTAAGGGCTATATTATAACTTTTTATATCAGTACCCTTTATTATTAGTACTTTAAAAATACTTCTCTATACACATTATCCCATAATATTAAACCACACAGTGAGGTAAAGAAGGTAAATATTACCATATTTATTCTTAAATGAGTACATCAAAGTTCAGGTGATAACAATCTGCCCAAGGTAAACCAGACAGCAAATAACAATGCTCTTTTAGAATAAATTCTTTGAACCAAAATATAGCCAACCAGCAATAGATTACATAATGAAATTTACTTGACTAAAACACAAAATTCTTATTAAAATAGTACTAAATCTCTTTAAAGAAATACATTAAGAATGGTGCAGAAAAAAAGTGCCCAATTTGGTTTTCCCTAATATTTCAACTAATGCTTTCAAGAGTACAGTTAAATACCACCATCACAAATCCGTATTCAGTGACTCTAACTTGTCATAAATGTAGAAAACAGATAAACTGTAAAACTACACAGAGGACCCTACCAGTAACCCCAGCCTTTCATTCACAAATATACCCAAACAGGGATCACCAGCTACCTGAATAAAACTACCACCACCAAAAAAGAACCAAAATAAACAAAGTGAAAGAATTCTTCTAAGGAGGAAAAAACTTAAAAATAAAATCTATTTAGCGTCCTAAGATTAAGATTATGTTATATATGTAAAATAAGAGCAGGTGGTTATAAACTATAATCAATTCCCAGGAATATAAGGTAATAGCTGAAATAATTCAATAAAGGGCTAGAAGAAAAAGTCAAGGAACAAAGAGGGGGAAAAAAGACACTAAAAAAATGAAGGAAAAATTTTAAAACAGTGCACTGATATTGAAGCTCTAGGGGAAATTTTAAAAAAAATAACATAAAAAAATACAGGGAGCACAGAGGGAAGAAATAATAAAAGAAATACAGAAGATTTCCCAGAACTGAAAAAAAGACACAAAAGTCTACATTTTCAAAGGGTCCACCACCAAATGCTTTATAGGATGAATTACAATGGACTATAACTCATCCTCCTTAAATTTCAAGGGTAAAGAGGCATCAACACAAAAGCTTCCAGAGAACCAAAACAGGTTACCTACAAAGATATTACTCACATTAGCAATAAGTCTCTTATCAGTAAAACTGGTTACTAAAACATAATGGAATGCAAACTTCAAAACTCTGGAGGAAAGTGATTTAAAACCTAAATTCTATACCCAACCAAGGTATGTACCAGGTGTGAAAGGGAAACGTTTTCAAATACTGATGACAAGGACTCACACACATGCTTTCTGAAAAAATTACTGGGTTGGCGGAAAAATCATGATGTTATTTTTTCTATGTTTTTCATTGCAAAAATGCGTCATGACTTTTCCGACAACCCAATAAATACTTCGGGAAGTACTCAAGCAAATTGTGAAATAAATCCAAACCAAAAAGAGGAAAGACGTAACATCTAAGAGAACACAGAACTTGTCCAAGAATGCAAATAATATGGTATTAGCTGAGCACCATACCCAGAAAAAAACCAGTTCATATGAGAACTTCGACCAATAGTACAATTAAAAAGCTGGATAACCAGCTTTCCAGAATGAAGGCGTACAGTTTTCTACCACTAAGGGGAAATGTGGCAATTAGAAAATCCAAGAAAAACAGCTATAGCCCAAACTAGAAGCCAAACTACAGTACGACATGGTCTTGAGTGCCAACAGTCTGTAAAAAATCCATTTGTTCTCTACAGATCCCATCACACTCATCATACTACTTTGTTTAGTGGTTAATATTATTTACATAAGCATAATATTGATGACCGCTTTTTGGAATTAACAAGTATAACTATTAAACCTTGCCAATATAAAATAAATGTTACAGTTGGCATAAATTGGGAAAGGAATACGGGGAATTCAAGAGAAACATTGTGAGGGGTACTAATTTTTCTCAACTTGTAAAGTGGCAGGATGATGGCTAAATAATTTATAGAATTAATGGTGCGAGAGCTAGATGGTTAGCCATAGAGGGAAAAAAAAAAAAAAGGAAAAATGAAGAGAATAGTTATTAAGAAGTTAAATTCTTCATTTTTCACAATGGGGGCATACTAGATTACTTAAGATTCGTCAAAAATAAAATTTAGCATATTATATATAAAAGTGGAATAATCAGAATTAAAAATAGAAAAGGTCTAAAATGGTTACCTCTGAGAAGAGAAACTAGTTGGAAGAGGTAGAGAGTAGATTTTGACTTTTCATTTTATATCTTTGTGTACTATTCAAATTCTTATAAGACTATTACTTCCTGAAACACACACACACACACACACACACACACGAATTCTCTTTCCCTAACCACTGCAGGAAAAACATTGAGAAATTCTCTTTAACTTTTTCTATATCCCATATACTATATACCAACCTTCTACTATGGTATTTCAGAGGAGACACAATTAATTAAATAGACTCAAGAACCACCCTAAACCCTTGATAAAATGTGGTATTAGCAACATCTTACATTTATGCTAAATTTGTCAAAACATATCCATATCCATTATTCATTTAATCCTCACAATGATCTCGTGAGAACCCATTTTAGAGATTAATAAAGTAAAACTCTAAAGGTTTAAGTGGCTTGCCACCCCAAAAAAAACAAAGTAAGAAAAATAATATAAAAGACAAGTTAAAATATAAACAAAAAAATACCTCATAGAGCACTGAAATCTGAAAATGCTTTCCAAATTTATAATATTAGAATAACAAAAGAAATCAATACAAAGAGTCGGCCAGTTTGGAAAACAGTTTGCCAGTTTTTATAGTTAAACATACACTTACCATATGACCCAGCAATCTCATTCCTAGGTTAGTGCCCCCCAAAAATGAAGACACATCACACACAGACATGCACGTAAATGTTCATAGCAGCTTTATTCATAATAGTCAAAAACTAGAAACAACCCAAATGTGCATCAGCTAGTAAACCCATAAACTGTCATACGTTCACAGTGGCAATACCACTCAACAATTAAAAGAAAGAAACTAATGATATGCACAACAACATAGATGAATCTTAAAATTATTATGCTATGTGAAAATAATCAGACATAAAGGACTATGTATTATATGATTGTATTCATATGAAATTCTAGAACAGCAAAATTATAGTAACAATAGATTAGTGGTTACTAGAGTTGACGGAAGAGGGCTGACTGCATCAGGGAATGACGGTACTTTTTTTTTTTTAAATCAGCCTTTTAGTTTATATTAAATATTTATTCTAAAACTCACCTAAGATAGCAATAGTAAATTATTATTTTTTCATAAGAACAAAACATATTTATGGAAATGTCATTACAAAGATGGAGGGTACTTTTTTGGGTGACAGAAGTGTTCTGTTATAATTATAGTGTTTGTTACACTACTGTATAAACAGAGCAAAATTCATCAAAGTGTACACTTAAAATTGGTGAATTTTATTGCATGTAAATTATAACTCAATCAGACCAATTTTTTTAAAATTCAACAGTATATAATCACATTTAACTACTGTCAACAGCTTTTCAGGACAGGTATGTACAGACCTTAAAAGAATATTAAAATCACTATTTAAGAGGTAACCTTTAACCAGAAGAAAATATATACAGTAACTTAAAAGTCCTGAGAATGGAACCCTCATCCTACTCAACTTGGCCATGTGGATAAACAGTTGTTGCCTGGCAACTAGTCTAAACTCTAGATTTCTAATAAACACATTGACCACATTAGCAGGTGATCTCATAGAGGATAAACTAAGTTTTACACTGAAGAGTTCTTCCTTTAATATTACAAAAGTATAGTCATGTATATGAATTACTTAACTAAAGTAGGACTGAACAAGAAATACTAAAAGTAGATCATAAAAAATAAAGGCATCAACATAAACACACAAAGTACCCCTTTCCTCACTTGGTCTTTTACTTCAGGACTTGACTAACCTAATTCATGAGACTGTTGAATCCATGAGTTTGTGGGAACCCTTCCCCTTTTACTACTTTAAGCCTTTCCCCTGTCACCACCCAAATTGGCTTAATTGAATAATTTATTTATGCTTACATGTCTTTAAATAAATACAAGTTAGACACTTTTCTAGATATTAAATCATTCTAAAGATACCTCTCTGGGTTATACAGTCTGTAGGCAGCACAGAAAAGACACAACACAGATTTTCTGTAACATGCATGCACACAACATACAGGAAAGCCAAACCTTCATAACTTGATTATAAATGATCGAAATCAAGAATTATATAAAGAACTCCCACATAACAAGCAAATTTCTAACACACGTGCTAAATATCATTTCTCTCTTACTGGACATAGTATATTACAGTTTACTTTGTTAACAGCATCAGAAAAAAAATATCAGCTTCCAGGACACCACTAACTGGTAGCACTTACCAACCATATGATTTTTGGTTTTGTTGAACACTTACCCCTCTTCTGAACCCAACCTTCTTTCACAATGGTAACATCGCTCATGATGGCTCCCCTCTAGCCCCCAACTTGGAGAAATGGTACTTTGTGATATCAGCTTTGGGGTTTGGATTCTCTGCTGCTGCTGCCCTTCCCACTCTCTAGTGATGACTCAGCCTGGAAGGAAGTATTGAAGAAAGAATTTCTTTTTTTTCCATTCTTGCAACTCACATAGCAATAACAAACAACTAATTCTTTGTAAATGTCTTCAACTGGCCTGAACTCACATAAAAGTCTCGCTCTTCAAACTGGGGAACTTATTTATTAAATAGTTGTATAATGAATGCACTTCCCTGGTCTTGTGACAGATTTCAAATGATAGTGAAACTTTTAACTTAAGAGGGTGTAACAAAAAAAGTCTTAAGAAAACCACTGTCACACCTACACAAATAATACAGAAAATTTGTTTGGTGATGTGTGTTTGAGGGAAAAGGGAAGAGAATGAAAGTTAAGTAGACTAAAAGTAAATCTTCATGTATATCCAGTTTCAAAATTTCTGTAAATTTAGAAATCGTTATGGGAAAGCAATTGTGAATGTTTTTAATTGATGTATTTTCTGTAAAATACAATGTGCTAAGAAAACCACCATGTATTTATGCTTATTCTGCTTTGTTCCAAGAAATATTTTAGGTTGATTACAACAAGTAGAATATTATAAATAAATCAAGTATGTTTAAAAGTAGACAAAGGGAATATAAAACAATGGGAATATGAAAATGGAAAAGAGGTATGTCAAGAACTCTTACAGGTTCTTACATCTATTATTCTCAGGTAATCTTCACTATAACCCTTTGAGGGTACTACTGACCCCATTTCACAGATGGGGAAACTGAGGTTTGCAGAGATTAAGCAGCATGCCCCTTCTAACACAGCTAATGAATGATGGAACCAAGGTCTGAACCCAGGCTGTCTGGCTCCAATGTCTGCATTCTTAACTCCAAAACTATACTGCCTTAAATAAAGATGAAAAAAACTCAGAGTAGAAGGCTACATATTTGTGAAAGATTGGACCACAAATTTGGCACAAAGCTTTCAGAAAGCAATGTAAATAAGGAAACACAATCAGTGTCAATATTTACAGTAGTCGTAAGTATTTTTAAAAAGGAAAAAAAGAAATTGCTCAGAAGAAATACAATTCTTCCTGGGACAAAAATCTGAAATTTATCCCATGGGTCTTCACAAGCTACGTTATAGTATAAAAAACAAAGTCCTCAAAAATATCCTCACATATATATAGCAATGAGTTTCACAGAGCAATTTCTTATTGTCCCTCTCAACCTAAAAAGGAAAAATACCAAGATAAAATTGAGTTAAAGCATTTCCACAGAAAGGGACCAAAAAATGTGGTCCAGGAACACAGGCATAAATTTTAGATACCAAACAAAATGGCTAGATGGATTATATAACTATACAATTTTTCTTACAGTGATTTTTGATAAATAATGCCTAGCACTAAGTTCAAGGTTGGATTGGACTCCTTCACTACTGAACTGAATTACAGCTCCTTTTACAGTACAAATTAAATGCTGAGCCTAATCATTTAGCAGTCAGGAATCAAGACTAACAATCTCTTAAGAAAGCCTGACAAAGCTGGTGTGGTTGAATGAAGGCCGCCCCACTCCCATCATGTGCCACAGGGCTGAGGGCAGCACCTACAGGTAGGGCCAAGCTTGTCCTCAAAATCGGCAGGATCTCCTACTGATGAGCATTAAAAGGCATATCAGAATCTGCGTGTATCTACCCAAAACATGTTGGACAGAATATTAAAAGAAATTATGGAAAAATAAGAAGAAAAAGAAAGACCAAAAAAGAAATTATTCGGTGGAGTAAGTTTGGGAAATTCTACAAAACATACCTTTCTCTTGAAACATCACCATTAACATATTAAATGTGCAAAATAAATATAATTTTTATCTCAGCAAATCCTAAATTTATTTGAACACACAGGGCTGTTTTTCTTTAGTAATATGTATTGATATCAAGAAGAACACACTTTGGTAAACGGCCACAGGATACGGCCACATGGCCACAAGACAAGACCCATTTCACCACTGAAAACAGGCAAAAACCCAACAAATCAAAAAACCCCGCACTAAAGAATCCAAAGATCATTTTAATTTCATTTATGTAACTTCCTAAAGAATTCGACATGGTCAACTGGCTACATAATACATATGGAGCTAGATAATTAAAGGAGTTAACTCTTTACACTACGTAAGAAAGCTAAATATTGGGAACACTAGAACAAAATGGTATCTTCAGAAGAGCTGAGTTGTAGACCGCCTCTTTGGAAGAACTGTAGCAAGGGGCCTCATATGTATTAAAGCCTATAAATTATATAATCTGGGTCAAAGAAAATTCAGATGTTAATATTCTTGGAATTGCACATGGAAGATATCTGGGATTAATACTTAGTAATACCAAAAAATAATACATATACAATAAACATTTAAAATATATACCTTCCTATTCAAATAATGTGCATTACAATACTCTCACTAAAAATGCTAAAAAAAAGAAAAAAAAACCATTAAAATTGATTCTATTTTTTTAAGTGGGCATTTCATTATTAGAGACTTAGCTGGATGAGAACATCAATTTACAGTTGAGTAAAGAGTCAAGACAGATGAAATGACTTGCACAAGGTCACACAGCTACTTCATGACAGAATCAAGACAGAAAGCCAGGCACATGCACCTTCCACTCAGCACTGCCTCTTCAGTATAAAACAATATGCTGAAATGTCCAGATCAACCCAACATAATTTTGTTGTATAATGAAACTGTTTCAAAAAACTAGCATTTTAGATGAAAAATGTTTATCAGTGCTTGTATATTTAAACTGCTAAAATATATGTTAAATCAAGAGGACAAAATGTATCATCCTCATCAAGGCCAGTGAACACACACATTATAGAGATGGCTTTATCCATTTGCATCTTAAAATGTTAACGGATTCTACCCATAATCATAATTTTCAACTTCAAAAAACTGCTCGCCTCTACTGACTAAAATGATACATTCTTTGAACATAACTTAAGAGACATTCTAAGGTAGACTATTGTACAATTATGATCAATACGCTAGAAATAAATGCTGTCTTTTATGTATAAAAACAATGCTATTGACTTGTAAGCAGAAAACTACATTCTTTGGTTTAATTTTTCTACAGTGGCAACACTCTTGCGCCAAGTCATCTACACTCTGCCCCTCAGTCTCCTATGTAACTAAACACACTAATCTGCATAACGATGAGCTGGACTTCCAGGATGTAATGTTTCCTAAGGTAGAGAGAATGTCACCTCCTTCTAACAGTTCTAACTGTTCTAGAAATGTGTTCTTTCCAATGAACTACAACAGACAAAATTTCGTTTATTTTTCTTTTAAACCTTTTGCCTTAAAATTTTCATTGTTGGGTCATCTAGTTTTTCCCATTCATAAAAAAAATTTCACCCAAAATTCTTGGCAGGTTCAATTTAGATTTTACACAAAGCAGTTACACCAAAGGTATTTTTGTTCAGAACTATTTGAGAATTTAATGAAAATAATAATTGCATCTGAATTACATTGTTTTACAATTTACAAAACATTTTCACATCTTTTACCTCATTCAATAGCATTATTATTTGGTAAGGCAAGCTGACAGTGCCTAACACAGAAGAGATGCTCAACAAATCTGGAATAGATGAATGAGTGGATAAATCAAGGAATAAAGATGCAGCTTTAGATAACTAATAAAGAACAGGCTAAGCAAACTAATATTCTAAGACAACGGAGAGAATGGTATTAAGCCATCTTAAAAACATTCCTGAACTTGAACATTATGGAAGCACTTACATAAAAATAATTCAAATTATAATAAATATTCTTCCCTACTCATTGAAGTATGTTTCCTATAGACCTCCATTAATTATAAGAACACATTAAAATTATCCTTTTGTTCAAGACGTTTTTTGACATTTTTTGTTGAGACGCTCAAGTTTCAATTCCCAAACAAATCAAGCATTATTCAGTATGGGAGGAAAAAAGAAAGAATGGCATATTTTTTTAACGATACTTATAATAATATTTTAAAGATACTGTTTACTTACGGCAACTAACCAATCAATTTGAAGCAAAAATTAAACTTTTCAAACATCTTCTGAAAATGTCATTCACTCAAGAAAATACATTATATATATAATATACATATATTCAGTTAAAAAATATGTATTCATTGTCTACCCTGTGACAAGGACTATATTACGTATACAGGAAGGTAAGCAAAACAAAGTATTTTCCAAACCTTTATTTGTTATCAAAGTACTTTCACATATATAACCTCATTTGACTCTAGAAACAAACTTACGCAGTAGCTGTTGCATCTACAATTTTGAATCTAAGAAAATTGTGACCAACCAGTAACGATGACATTATTTCCCCCCACAGTTACCGGAATAAATTAGTGACAAGTAACAAGATTGACTACTTGCAATTCAAGTCTTCTTTAAGTTTGGTATGCTTTCCACCAAACAACAGGATATGAACTCTCAAAAATATGTATAACATTTGAGAAGAGTTCTGAACATTTTTTTCTGTATCGTATTATTTTTCAGAAGTCCACTAAAGCACAACGTTTTCAAATCAATTAAAAATTAAATATAACTGTGGTATCACAAATGAAATTATAACAAAAGGCTAAAAAAAAAAGCAGGGTGACAAAGTTAAAAGGCACCCCAGCAATTCTCTTTTTTACAAATCAGAACAAAATTCCTAGGTTAATAATTTCCAGTGTGTCAATTTCTAAGTTAAAAACCACAATACAATTCTATAATACAACTTTCTCTAAACTATAAACTTGGCTATAATTAACACTATATAGAATATATTTGCTCTGCACCACAATTTTTTATATACTTAAGATATGCTAGCCAAATTGAATTAATGGTGACAACTAATGTTCAAATACAACACAATGTTGCTACTTTGAAAATACAAATGATGGTCAAGGGTAACCATAATATAATTTTGTGGTATTCACCTATTGATAAGAAATAGATGAAACTAATACATGCCATAATAAATGCATAAGGCTATCTATAAAAAACTTTCAAAACGATTTGAGGGAAAGGAAAAATACTGAAGTGGAAGGGAAATTCAAGGCA